TTTTAGACCGGCTTTACTCCACGTTTAAGTTGGTTTCAGTCAAAACAGATTATAGATGAATCAGTTCAACTGATGAAACAGTTCGGTTGAAACTGATTTTCTCTTGAACCGATCCATTTGAACCCGATTATCTCTCAAACCAACACAAATAAAAATAATTAGAATGCCACATAGTATACTATTATAGACTTAACGACTCCAAATCGGTATCCGTTGGAATGTTAATTTTCAAGTTACTTTTAACCTAATTTGATGACTCCCAAAATATGCTATAAAGTGTTTAAATATTAGCATTTTTTCCTCTAAAGTCCCCTACAACGGGGTTATCTGCGAAGTCTCGTGTGGATCATTTTGTAGTAGTGCCATATGCATGCACAACCAATCATAATATTTCCACATTAGAAAAAAAAAAAAAGCAAATTTATTTTAACAAATGTATAATATTATTGCATAACTTAGAACGCAACTTGGTCTTTATTATATATGGTAGTAGGTAAGTCGAAGAGCGAATAGGAGATGTATATTACTACAAATTTAAAATGAGGGGATTTAATATTCAAAACCTTTCCAATGGTGAAAATACGCAACTTTAGCATATGTTCAGGTACCATTTATGTATTTTTCAGACTTTCTTACTTTTTCTAATGGCAGCATATTTTCTTCTAATGTAAAGTTCACTATTAGATCCAACGAAAAGTCCTTCTGTACTTGCAGCCGAGCTAGGAGCTAAGCATACGTAACAATCGCATATTGCAGTAATGGATACGTCGTCACCATGGCTATCGGAACTGGTAAGCAAGCATATTCGGGCACATAGTTGTTATATATATGCATACATATATTTATATCTTGTTACATTTAATTTACATATGTTCGTGAACCTGTATTTTAGGAAATACAAGATCAAGGATTCGTCAATCAACTTCAGATGATTAGACCTTATTACGTGGTGGCAGACTTCAGTCTTGATTCATTTTCCTCAGAAAGCAACAGCAAGAACCCATCTTTTCCAGATCAAGGTTTTAAATCTCCATCGATCATCAAAGAAACAACCAATATCAATACGCTGCATAGTTATAAAAGCATCAATGATATTAACAACAACTATACTCCAACTGATGAAAAACCAAAGCCAAAGCCCCTTCCAAATACTCCCAACACTTTTACTATATCATTCGGAGATCAAAAACCTAAAGATGAGTTCATCCTTTTAAGCGATTCATTGGGTTGCACAACTGGAACAAAAAAGGGTACGACTGTGATCAGGAATCGAATTCAGCTTCAAGACCATATGCTGGCTGAGAGGAAGAGAAGAGAAAAGTTGGCCCGAAGATTTCTTTCTTTGTCTGCTCTACTTCCTGGCCTGAAGAAGGTATAATCATCTCACTGATAATCAGAACTATATATTTCCTACGATGCCCTAAAATACCAATAAATTATTGTAATATCAACTCGACAAGTTAACTATTTGATTGTAGATGGATAAAGCAGCTATCTTAGAAGACGCATCTAGTTATATACGAGAACTTCAAGGTCGCGTGAAGGAACTTGAGGGATTACCAGACATGAAGGTAATAAATATGCAACCGACTGTCTCTGCAAAGAAATCAAAACTTACTTGTAGCAATGATGATGGTTCTTGGTCTTCTGATGAAGAAAATTTTGGAGAAATACGTAGTCCTTACAATCCAGAGATCGAAGTGAGGATGTCAGGAAGCAGTGTCATAGTGCGAATCTACTGCGTGAAGAACTATGTGTCATTAGTCAAAGTGTTTGACGAAATGGAGAAGCTTGGTCTTTCAATCACGAGTAGCAGCACATTGCCATTTGGAAGTACCACTATTCTTATCACCATAATTGCTAAGGTATGTGCTTTATTGAATTCTTGGGTATAACCTAATTAAATATGGAATTTAAGTTGTTAGTTTTCTAATATTATGATTTCAGCGATAATTTTATGTTGATTCAGTTTACAAAAATGGTTTGAATCTACTTTCGTGCTAAATTAATAGACACCAAATTAATGTTCATTCGTATTTCCTGATTTTTACAGAAGGCGAATGACTTCTTCATGACATCAACGGATCTTGTTAACAACTTGCAACTAGCTATATGAACTTCATGAACCAGAAGATTGTCCACTGACGCATGACTTTTCTTCTTCCTTTTTTTTTTTCAATACTCAGAAAAAAAAACCCTACATGAGTCTGAGTAATAACTAGGGTGGACTTTTGTTAATCTGCTTAATGACAAAACTTGTTAATTCACGAACTAGCCTACATGTAATTTAACCTGAACATGCTTCATCCTACTTGGTAAAATTTTATTATTATCCTCGTGTTTAGGTACCTCCGAGTGCTCCTGAAGAAGTGCCTCGGTACTAGTTGTTAAATTCTGCCTGTCATTTTCCGATTTTGCAGTTCTTATGGAGATGGACGTTTCATGGTGACACTCATGACAGTAATTTTTCCCATTGTGTTCCTTGTTGTTTGTCTCATGTACACTCATTAGATTGCAGTTTCGATTGTGGTGATTAATTGGGTTACTATTTTATTTACCCATCGTGTTGTTTCATGAAATTCACGTTCTTTCACGTTGGTCTTATATATTTGGGAAAAGATCATGTACGCTTTTTGGCTTTGTGAATTATGCTATAGTTTCCTTGTTGGTAGCATGTTGTTTGTATATATACTTATATTCAAAGACATTGTTTAGAGTTTTTTTTTTTTTTTCTTTTGCCAAAGCCTGGTAATTAAAAAAGTTATTCATTAAAATATATCGCTAGTAATTCTAACCTTATTATGCAAAAACATTTAGAATGGTATACCCCTACAAAACTAAAAACCATTACTTGAAATCAAATTTAATTCCTACAGAATTTCCGAGTAAAAACCTTCTCTTTCTATATAAACTCAGCATCTTCGATCCATCAGATCATGGCCCTCACCTACTCTAGCATGATCGATCATCAATCCTTTCATTTCCATGTGTTCTCTTCATACACAAAGTTTCTTTCTCCCTCTCGCTCTCTCCTAAATTCCACACCACATATTTCTTGAAAACCACAAGCCTTCTCGGCCAATTCTAATCAAAACGGGAAAAAAGATGTCTCTGGAATTATTAGTCTCATTATTGTAATTATTATACTGGATGGAATTTAGAGTAATGAATAGTTCATGAAACCGGAAGGGAAATTAATGTGTTTATTAACTTCAAAATGTCTCAAAAAAAGCTTACAAAATCATTTATACATAGCTAATTTGGGAGTGATTTTAAAATTTCTGAAAATTAAAATTGGCAACATATTCATCTAGTTAAACTAACAACATCTCCAATAATTACCTTATTTATTATAAATAAATGTCACATCATAATTCCATTAATACCAACCTCTAGATAAAACACTATTCCAATGATAAACTTATTTAAATAGGTTTTTTTTTTTGTTAAATTTAATTAATTTACCTTTATCTTTCTAAAATATTTTATAAACCTTCTCATTTAATTAGTCTATTTTTAAACAAAATAAATTATTTAATACGAATATATAAATACTAATATATTGATTCAATATTTATGTAAATAAAATAAAAAAAAAATATTAAGTTATAGTTATAAAAACAAAATAAAAACATTTAAAATATTATATAATCATCATAAAAACTATATTTTATAAATGAGATGTTATTAAATATTTAATAAAAATAAATAAAAATTATTTAATAAAAATAAATAAAAAATATTTAAAACTAAAGTTATAAGGAAAGGGTTAAATGTAAATATTCTTAAATTAGAAGAGGTTACATGTTCAATCTGTGAAAATATATTGAAAAACAAAAAGGCTTTCATCTTCAATGCTATTAAATGATTATTTTATAAAAAATGCATAATAATAAATTATGAATGTTCTGATTAAAGATTGGAAAACAAATTTTAAGGAAAATTGTTTACTCTAATTTTGGTATAGAATATCCCTAGAATATAATAAAGAGTAAATTACACAAAAACTAACTATTGTTAATTAGGTTAATCTGTATGTTTAGTCTTATTCTTTTTGTTCACCCGTACCATCCCTCTTATTTAGGGTTTTTTTTTTTTTTTTTAATTTTATAATTTCGTCAATACCTAATATAAAATGACTATGTTGCAATCATATTTTTTTCCCTAATTTATTTATCAATTATAATTTTAAAGAATAGAATGAACGCCACCCACACCCTTTTAAAATTGGAACGCGATAAATTATACATGCGCATAAACCCTAAAACTCATCATCCCATTATCACCGGTCAACCCACCCCAACGCGGAGGATTCTCCCACACATCATCTTGTTTTTTGATATCTTTCTCGTCCCTCAATTAGTTTTCCTTGTAATTTCTGTTCTTAGTATTTTGGTATTCCATGTAAGATCTATAAAAGGACAAGTTCGTTTCATTTTCTTGTTTCATCTCTTGGGGGCATTCAAATATTAAGCTTTCTCCAAGTGTTGAAGTTCGTTCTAAGTATTCTTAGTCCGAATAATAGTTGAAAGTGCTCCAAGCTTCATTCTACCCCCATTTTTATGATTGCTCAAACCTTGAGAATAGGATTATCGATTGTTGCACAGGTTTGGAATTTTACCCCTAACATTATGATGATAATGATGATGATGATTTTTGGTGTAAAAACATATAACTATAGTTATAATCATCATTACTAGTGTACTCACAAGTGCAACACAAATAACAACAAAGGAGGGAGTAAATTTTGAACTCTAAAAATACTTTAAGATAGAAGTGTTTTTTTGCTTGTAGTGGTGGTAGAATGAGTTTTTTAAAAGTGTTTGGATAAGCTTTTATATTGAAAACCCAATAAGTTAATAAGTTAAAAAATGTTTTGCTTAAAAATTGTTTTTTGAAGTTATTTTAGTTGAAAAACCATAAACAATTTCAAAAAATCACGTATTACATGCTTATTAAAAAGTGCTTTTTAAAGCTATTTTGAAAAATACTTTTAAGTTTGCCAAATATTTTTTTGACTTAATAGTTTTTCAAAAAGTCAATAAACCTATAAACACTTCTCAAACGCAATCCCAAACACCCCCTTAACTAAACCTTCAAATCAAAAAAAGGAAAAACCCAACTCATGATTTTTTTTCTTAAAGAAAACCACCAGAAATCCTTTATGGTTTGTATGTGGATGTGGATCATAAGGGATTATTGGAGGAGGTGAGGATTAGGGTTTTTAGTGTTACCGTAATCTTGTTATGAATCTTCTTTATACGTGCTAAAATACAATAAGTGTATATTTTGATTTATTTGAAGGGATTAAGTTGGCAAACTCAAACTCATGGTAATTATTTATGTAACTTAATTATTAATCAACATTAATAAATAAACTTTTTTATGTATTTGGATAAAAAATATTTTATTAATTTATTTAATAATATATTAAAACTTTTATTTATTTATATAATCTGATTGAGTAATAATATTTATCAAATATAAATTTTATTGATTTCATATCTCTATTGCTCTTCGTATGTTACTCTATAGAAGCATATATAGTTAATAACGGTATTAAATTATATGTTTTTTTTTTTTTTTTTTTTTTTTTTTTTGCACAAAGCTAGCCATTTTGTGCTGTACGTTCCTGAGATAATGCACGTCTAATAAAATTCAATATATTTATTATTTAAGAAACCGCTTTAAATAAAAATATTAGTTTTAAGATTTTCCATTAAAATTGGTTGCACTCTCTATATCCAAGTCTAAATTCATATTTTATAATATGCAATAAAAAAGCAAACAAAAACCATCGACGTCAAAAAGTAAGCAAAAAGGATAACATTTGAAAGTTACTTTAAGAAATAAAATCTTAATAGTGTAAAAGGGAAGTCTGACAACAGTCCTGTCTTCTTCGATTTATTTACCTCCACTATATTCCATCTGCATTGATTTAATAGACACCATGGTTTTCCAGTATATTGTTATTCCGAAATTCTTCAAAGAATTAGACAGCCTTATCCTAAAAGTTCTCAAGAATCACCTTTATGAGACAAATATTCAAATGATGTGAATGTGAATTTACCACATAAAGCGACCACCCGTAAAGTTAGATCAACGTGCGTATATGGACATAAAATATATATCCTTCAACTGCAGAAGAAAACCCTAAATTTTATCATATGTTCTTGGCTTCTTGTTTTCGTTACGGTAATCGCATAGTGAAGTGCTTTTCATGATCTTTTTCCTTTATCATCCTTTTTCATTATTCTCAATCAGGATCCTTCTTTGCATATATTCCTTACGTTTTTATTCCTATTTGTCATTAATTAAGGCATTTTTGGCATGTGTGCCGTATTTATTGTGTATGTTACTTCAAAACTGATGATGACTGCTCGATTTAATTTTGTTAGTTGTGTCGGACGTCAAATCTTGTAAATTTAAGAATGTTAACAAAACAAGGAGTCTTTAGAGATGTACATATCTTTTTTTTAATTACTTAGTTCTTATCCTTCTTTTCTAGTTTAGTATATAAATATGGTGTAATCAGATTTTGATATTATGAAATACAAAATCATTTCCTAGTTTCTCTCTATCAAATTTCACATGGAATCAGAGCTAACCTGAAAACCCTAGCCGGAGTATCTAAACCATGACATGAGCTGATCCTGGTTTGTCTTTGATAAGGATGACAATTGATATCAAGTTTCCTTACTTCCTTAAATCCGGTGATCATCCTTGCTTAGAATTTTGTTGAAGAAAACTTACTCCATGAGGGTAACTACAATGATTGGACCAATGCATTGTTTTCTAAAAATAACATTTGTTTCGTTATAATGCCACAATTCCTATGTCGGGGGAAAATTATGTCGATTTAATGAATTGGAAAAGATGTAATGCGATGGTACATGCAGTGGCGGAGCCAAAATCAAAATAAATGAGTATCCAAATTTTATTTTTAAGGTAACCCAAATATTTTTCGGAGGTACTAGGGCTTCCCCGGTTCATTTTCAGTTTTAAACCCAAACCTTAATTGAGTCCTTAGCTAACCTCAGGTCTTGTTTTATAAACATGAAGTTGAAGTATATTTTGATACTTGAATCAATGTGAGATTTAAAGTAGATATCAAATGAAGTATGAGGATAACAGACTTATATAATAGACAAAAATGGTTGAATTTACATATGTTTGGCGATGTGAGATAGAATAGTCGGAAAAATAAAACAAAAACAAACAAAAAATATGCAAAGAGCAAGAATTGAACTTGAGAGCTTTACTTTAATAAGGCAACACCTTAACCAGTGGCTCTACTATTTGTTTGTGTTCATAATTGAAGGAATATATATATACCGAAAAAATTGAAGAATTCGTAAACAAAAATTACACTACCGAAAAAAATTTGAGGAGTATCCCGGGCT